CACACACCCACACACAGGAAAATGGAAAAAGACAAAAAGCCGCTGTCCATGCAGCCCTCCTGCTCTCTGGCAACCCCCTTTACAACAGAGAAATTTTTGCACAACCCCAGGAATATAGGAGAATTTAACAGATCTACAACCCAAACACTGATTGATGCTAAAGCAAAAAGATTATTTGAAAACAATCCTTTGATATACATATTAGCTTATCATTTATTAAAGATGAAAGCAAGTTTACACACTAATGAGACGAATGTGTGTGTTTATTTTTATATGAAGAATTAATTCTTGGCTGAATATTTGAGACTCAAGGACATAGAGTGTCCTAGTCCATTCCCTGTGGCTGTAGTAAAACACTGTGACCAAAAGCAGCTTGGAGAGGAAAGGATCACAGTTCTTCACGAAGGGAAGTCAGGGTAGGAGCTTGAAGCAGAAGCCATGGAAGAATGCTGCTTGCTGGCTTGCTCACAGGCTCATGGTCAGCTAGCCTTCACATACAACCCAGGTCCACCTGCCTAAGGATAGTGCCACCCACAGTGGGCTGGGTCCTCACCCGCCAATCACCAGTTTAGACATGGCTGTACATCGATCTGATAGAGACAATTCTTCAGTTGAGGTCCCCTCTTCCCAGGTAGCTCTGGGTTGTGTCAAACTCACAATAACGACTAGCCAGGACACAAAGCATCGTCCATGTTTTTCAGGGTTGATGGATATCTTGATTTCATAATCATCAATGCTCCTTGGTATTTAGGACATAGAACAAACCGGCAGGGGTTATGTTCAGAGCCCTCGCAGAGAGAGAGGTTGGAAATTCTGTCCTAGTCCCGAGACAAAAATCCACTTAGCAACTTTTTTTTTTGTAAATGAAATTCAAGTTAGCAACTCTAACAGAAAAATTTAAACCAAGCATTCTAGCATCATGCAAACTAATTTGCTATTTTACCTGCTGAGGGATGATAGTAAGAAAATACCAAGTCTTTGTTTGCCATAATTAAACCATCGTGTTTTTATAAGAACAGAAGACTGTGTGTGTGTGTGTGTGGTGAAAAAACAAAAAAAAAAAAAACAAAAAAAAAACAGTGCTGTTCATCGCAGACAGTATCCTGAAATGTGAGCCAGGGCCTTACAGGCAGCGCTGATACAGTGAAGAAGTGCATGAGTTGTGTGTTCGGATCCAGGGCTGTAATGAAGCCGCACAATGCAGCATGGATGCGAAGTGCCAGGAAACACCCCAGATTCATGGCAGGTTTGCTGTGGAATGACTCTCCAGCTGTTGCGTGTTCAGAAGGCTTCTACTGCCCCTCAACTTACTGATAAGAGAGCCGCGGCCCACAGGGGTGGCCTGACCTGCCAAGGTCCCTACCTTCTTGAACTTTGCTTGGGAGGACTCAGTGTCTGCGGCCCAACCCAGAATAAGGCATGGCGCACGGCGTATTCCAGAATCATCACCCCAATACCACCCCAAACAGAATCTGTCCCTTCTAGGGCTGTGCGGCAGCCAGCAGCACTCCCAGGTGCCAGGAGACCTTTTACATACCATATGGCTATAGAATTAATAACATGCTGTAAGCAAAGATTGGAAAAGAGATTAGGGGACCGAGCTCCTGTAGTGGAACTATTAACAAAGAATGAAGCCTAGTGACAGAGCAGGGAGAATGGGACCCAGGCCTCCTCTTAGATGCTGGGCAAACACCAGGCTTGGGAGCATCCCTGACCAGCACAATGTGTCTGCTGTCGGTCATAAAGATGGAGCTTATTGGAGGGACATCAGCCAAGAATAACAAAATGACCTCTTTGGAGGGGACAAGGAGCCAGTTAATTATCCTCAACAAAGAAGGATGCACAGGCCACAGGCAACCTCTGTGCAAGGAGACGGTCACCTCCACAGGGTCTCAGGCAGGGCTGAGGACACCTCTCCCTTACCTCAGTGGCACAGGCCAGCCATGTCCTCCGTGTATGCATGACCAGGCCAAGCTGTTCCCACCCACATCTCCCTGACTGCTGAGGGTCAAAGCCCAGCAAGACCTTGGGTAAGTCATCCCCCTACTTTCTGGGTCTATGTTATGGGGTTCATAATAGGAGCCACCTCGTGGAGCTGGTGTCAGGATGCAGAAGGCGGGCAGAGTGTGTTGTCCCCCAGGCTGACAAGAGGAAGGCTGTGGTACAAGTCCATCAGTGACAGGATGCTCTGTGATCTCCCAAGCAGGCCTGCATCTCTGGGCTTCTCATGCCCGCCACAACCCATGACATAGTTACTATTGTCCTCCCCAAAAGATGGCGCTCCCTGGCACCAGCTGGCATGAGATGGGAGGTGTCCTTCTTAGGGACTCTGGGACTCATGTGCACTGCTTCTGGGGACCTCTGGAGCTGGTAGCCGGACTGCCTCAGCCTGGGCACCGTGCTGGCCTCTGTGGATGCTTCTCCGGACTTGGGCCAGGGACAATGAACAAAATGCAGCCTCGGGATGGATCCAGAGGGAATGGTGGCCAGGACCAAGCTGGCAGGTCCCCAGGAGGTGGGGTACCTAGAGACAGGTCTGAGCTGGGGATGGGAACTGGCACTGAGGACAGCCACATGGAGAGGTGTGGGGACACAGACATTGAGACAGGCAGACAGACAGACAGACAGGCACACACACACACACACACACACACACACACACACACACACAAACACACTTCCCGGCCCCCACGCTCACTATAAGAGCAATAGAGGCTGCTGGATCTCACAGAACTCTGACTTTGGAATTCATTAAATGGATTTTCACAGACACAAACTAATTACTCCCCAGCCTGGATCCCTCCTTCTACAGCATCCCTCTTTCCGGTCCTCCAGAGCAGCTGAGTACTCTCGACCTTCTCTGGCCCCCCGCTGACCTCAGGCAAAGGCCTCAGCTCCAGCCTGCATCCTTGACAACCTTAGACTCTCCACGGAGAGTTTTCCCTAGAGACCTTGGATTGAACTGACCAAGACAAAAGGACATTGATGTTCCTGGTTTCCTCGGATGGTGCCGATATGAATCTGCAGCCAAGTTGAGCATCCAGGCTGTGGCTTGGAGGAGGGGTGGGGGACCAGCTACTTCTCTCTCTGAGTCCCCACAGCCTGGCTCACAGTAGGTGAGATGTGGGCCTCCACCCCCCACCTAGTCCTATAAGGTGCCTGGAGTGAACAGGCTGGGGCGTTCTTCCTTTCCAGCAGCTGAAGTAGCTTTGATTAGGTGTTGACAGCAGGCTGGGCTGGGCTCACGCTGGGCCTCTTCAGAGGCCTTGAAAAAGCTGGACCTAGCCAGGGCCTGCCCGATGTGGGCGGGGTCTGTCCGATGTGGGTGGGGTTTTCCGATATGGGTGGGGTCTTCCGATGTGGGTGGTTCATGCATCCGCCAAGGAGAGATTACAAAGGGTTGTTTGCAAGAGTTGTGGGCAGGGTAGAGGATGGCCACTCTGGTGAGCTTCTCCCCTTAAACCTGGAGGGTCCAGCCACAGGGACAGAGCCGTGACAGCTGATGTGAACACCAAGGACTGCCACCCTGACCTACCTACCTCCTTTCCTCCCATCTCTTACTGGTGCCTGGCTTTGGGCAGTGCTACCTGAGACGGCTCAGAGCCTGGGCTCCCGGCCTCCCTAGAGTCCAGCACAGTGTGGAGGATGGCAGAGAGTGAACTTAATGAAACAAACGGAAGATTCCTGGCACCCTGACATATGGTATGGGCTGATTCAATAATGCCGCCGTTATTACTGTCCATGTGGCTGTGTGGGGCATCTTGTGACGTCTGATTTTATCTTTAACTGTATCATTGGCACACGTGGCAGATGGCCCAGAGCTAGGGCCAGCTCCTCGGCCTCTCTGTCTGCCCACGGCTGGAGGCAGGGAAGACCGTGCCTTCAGATGATCGTCCCATGTTCTGCGACAACGCTTAGTACATTTGACGAGCCATCAAAATGACTTTGCTGTGGCAAGCTTCATTAAAACGGGAGCACGTCGCTCTAGTATGCAGATGGGGCCACTTTATTACTTTTTAATTTGTTTATAGAAAGCCCTTGCTTGGTGTTTGCCATCTTTACAAATAGAGACAAACGGGCCTCTTGTCTCCAAGCTGTGGTGTCCCTGGATGGGTACCACAGGCTGCACACCACACTTGGTTACCCTTGATAGAATCTAACATGCTCCGGGCTAGGGGAGATGGCTCAGTCAGTGTTTGCCACACAAGGACCTGAGTTTGATCAAACCAAAAACCTATGTAAAAGCCAGGTGTGGGCATACATCTGTAACCCCAGTGCTGGGGAGGGCAGGCACAGGTAGGTCCCTGGGGCTCCCTGGACAGATAGCCTTGTGAATTGGTGAGCTGCAGGTTCAGTGAGAGGTTATATCAGAAAAAAAATAAGGCAGGAGCAATAACAGACATTATATAAATGACATTGACCTTCAGCCTACACACACACACACACACACACACACACAATCACAATCACACATGTACACACATATACATGCACACACGAACACAAATCATACGTGTATACATACATATACATACACACATAAGCACACACGTACACACACAAACACATGTAGACACATGCACATACATGTGTGCACATGTACATATACAAAGTCTTGCACTCACACAAACAATCTGACATATTTTCCAAACTATGTAGAAGGCTCGGGGAGGGAACAGAGTGTGTGACTCAGTGACCCTAGGAGGCACTCGCCCCCCTCTGGACTTTCTTCTCTGTCCTCATGGTCACAGCCTCCACAGCTCTGTCATTCCTCGGTGCTTTCTTCTCCGCTCTTTCCACCCTGAAAGCCGTGAACCCCCATCTTCTCAGCTCCCCGAGGCAGCTCTCTTCGTTAAAATAAAGTCTGCAAATCACCGAGTGAATTTTGAAAATGGATCAGACTACATGAGGAACACCACTCCAGTGAGGGGTCAGACCCTTGCCCACAGCCCGGAAGTAAACCAGAGGGAGCGCTCCGTCACGGTGTCTTTCCTCCTTAGCCTTCAGCTGTACGTCCCTCAGCCTCTCCGTGCCTGAGAAGTGGGGTGACGATGCCTCTCCGAGCCTATGAAGTGGGGTGACGATGCCTCTCCATGTCTGAGAAGTGGGGTCCCTCAGCCTCTCCATACCTGTGAAGTGGGGTCCCTCAGCCTCTCTGTGCCTATGAAGTGGGGTGACGATGCCTCTCCGTGTCTGTGAAGTGGGGTGACGATGCCTCTCCGTGTCTGTGAAGTGGGGTCCCTCTACCTCTCTGTGCCTGAGAAGTGGGGTCCCTCTACCTCTCCGTGTCTGTGAAGTGGGGTCCCTCTACCTCTCCGTGTCTGAGAAGTGGGGTCCCTCAGCCTCTCCATGCCTGAGAAGTGGGGTCCCTCAGCCTCTCCATGCCTGAGAAGTGGGGTCCCTCAGCCTCTCCATGCCTGAGAAGTGGGGTCCCTCTACCTCTCCGTGTCTGTGAAGTGGGGTCCCTCAGCCTCTCCATGCCTGAGAAGTGGGGTCCCTCTACCTCTCCGTGTCTGTGAAGTGGGGTCCCTCTGCCTCTCCGTGCCTGAGAAGTGGGGTCCCTCAGCCTCTCCGTGCCTGAGAAGTGGGGTCCGTCAGCCTCTCTGCCTGTGAAGTGGGGTGACAATGCCCTTCTTCTGGATCACTCTGAGGACTAGATTTCTTCATGATTAGTCAGAAGCGAATGGAACCCATACAGCTCTCTAGCTACAACAGTTACATATGGCAGTGTTCACAAGCACTCACGAGAGTGTGTGTGTGTGTGTGTGTGTGTGTGTCTGTCTGTCTGTCTGTGTGAACACACATGCCTGTGGCACCCAGAGGTCAGTCTCTAGTAAGCAGGCCGGGTGGCCAGTGAATACTGAGGATCTGCCTGCCTAGCACTGGGATGGCAAGCATTCACCGCGGCAGGCTTTTCCCGGTGACGGTGACGGCAGCAGGTTTGGTGGCGTTGGATGGCAGAAACACTCACACAGCGTGTGCCAGGCACGACCCGAACCCCTGCGGTGGGTGGTCAACTCAAGGTATGGGATTCTCCCACTTGACAGGCGAGGAAACCGAGGCACCGAGAGATGAAGGAAGGTGCCCATGGTGGCACGGCTGTTGAGTGGCAGAGGCTGGGTGATGACCCAGTGTCAGCCCCCTCCTTTCCGCCGTCTCTCAGGGGAAAGAGCGCACCTCGGGGTAGCTTGAAGTGAAGGGCTCTGTGAGACGACTGGAATTCATTTCACTGCTGAGGTTGCTAAGTCACAAAGACTATTATGAGGACCGAAAGATCAGAACCGTCCTGTCGAGTGTCGTGACACCTGCCTTTGGATGGAATTCTCGGTGGCCGAGCCGGCGGGAGACGGCACACGGCTGTGGCTAGAGGTCATGAAGAGAAGGATGTTGGAGTCACGGAGACACTGTCCCTGCAGAAGTCCCCTGGCCACTCTTCTCCTTTTACATAGAAAATCCGTGGAGCCCGGAGAGGTTGGGCGGCTTCCCAGGGGTCGCACACACGAGTTCTCAGGAAAGCAAGCCCCACTCAGATCACCCCAGACTGGTCAACATTATGTTCTCAAGGAGACCGGAAGCCAAAGAGGAGGCCCAAAGGCTAACTCATTGGTCAGCTGAGGGGCTGGAACCAGCTCCCTCCACAGCCTCCCTCGCTGCCAGGGGGCTATTTTCAACCTAAATGCAGTTGCCCGTTGCCGCTGTGGGGCCCTCACTTAAAGCTTTAAGCTCCTGGTTTTCCTCAGGGGAGGAAAAAAAGAAAGGCCAAACACCCACGGATCCTTTTGTTTGGAGTGTGGGGGTGGGTGGATCCTCTCACCCCTCGGAAACTCCTAACAACCCTCTCCCCTCACTCTAGGAAAATGGAAATGGACCCCCACCTCTCTCTCCCACTACCACTTAAGCTAATGGCGCTGGCAGAGGGGCAGGGGCAGCTTCTTTGTGTGTCTGCCCATCCTCCATCTCACCGTGCAGGACACAGATGCCCCCCACCCACCCACCCACCCAAGGCATCACAGGACTGGCAGGGGAGGAGGCCACCGTCGTGCTGGGCAGAACCTGGAAGCAAGCAGGTGGCCGGGGAAGGGTCGAGCTGCAGGCAGGGCCGGAGCTGCTCCTAGGGTCTGCGTTGGAGGCTTTCCACCAAGCGGCGGCAGCTTATTACAGCTAATTCCCCTCCCCTCGCTGTAACTGGAAACCCACAGGGCTTTCGCAGCATATTTGTGTATCTGGCGCTTTCTGCTCTCCTCCCCGTGGGGACCATAAGCGACTCAGAGAAAAGAAGCGACGTGGTCTCCCCTAATTTCAGAGTCAGTTCCAGAGTTAATAATAAATTAGCCGGGGCCAATGGGGAGGACTAGGTGGGGTAGACCCATCACAGTGAGAGGGTCCCCTCTAGAAGCCACTTCTGGGGGCCAGGGGGAGGAATAGGTGCTCTGGGGACTGAGGACACGCTGGGACAGCTCTGGAGGACACCTATAGGAGCCCTCCCCTGGGATGGGAGAGGATGGGGCCATTCTTTTTTTTTTTTTTTTTTTTTTTTCAAGACAGGGTTTCTCTGTGTAGTTTTGGTGCCTGTCCAAGATCTCACTCTGTAGACCAGGCTGGCCTCGAACTCACAGAGATCTGCCTGGCTCTGCCTCCTGAGTGCTGGGATTAAAGGTGTGCGCCACCACTGCCTGGCAATGGGGCTATTCTTACACCTCTCTGCCTCTCTCTCAGGGAAGGGAGGGGCACTTGGTCAGGCTTTCAGCACAGCCTGGATCCCCACTTCCTGGGGAAGGGCAGGTGCTGTTTTCTGAAATAACTGGAAGTCCCCAGTCCCTCTGGAAGACTCCACCAAACCCATTCACCTCCCAGGAAGACCACAGCAGCCACACCAGGTGGAAGTCAACAGCCCCGACACCAGTGAGGTTTCCTTGCTTCCAAGCTCGGAGCTTCCTGAAGAACCAGGGATTCTGCCATCAGACTGGAAGCACAATCAATTCCTGTCAAAGTGATGACCACCAGGAGACAGGGAGGCTGCCGTGTGAGGACGCTGGACAAGGCTAGTTCCCAAGATGCTGCAGTCCGGACAAGATGGCGGGATGTAGATGAGATGGCCACCATCACGAGGGGATGATGTGAGGCTACTATAAAGCTTAGCCCAAGATGGTGGGATAGGTGCAAGATGGCTTCCGCCATGGGAGGACTCGAGAGGCAGTGTGAGAACACTGAGCGGGGTTAGCCCCAAGACACTGGGCAAAAGGGCTGCCCTGAAGTTCAGGGGAGCTATCCTTTGAGGGGTTCACTCCTGAGCAGTCCTCCCAAGAAGACCTACGATTAACCAGAGGTGATATAGAGAACTCGAATTGGTTTTGAGAGCTGGGCTAGCTTCCTGAAGTCAGTGGGAGGCGGTGTGTCTGCTGCATCAAGAAGTGTTGCTTCCGAGGAGGAGGAGGAGGAGGAGGAGGAGGAGGAGGAGGATGGGCCAAGCACCAGGTGACACAGGTGGTCACTGAGCTCCTGTCAGCCAATGATGCTGTCAGCCAATGATGGGTTGATGTTCCAGCTTATCACAAGAAGGGACCAGCCAGGGAGCCTCTGCACAAATCCATCAGGTGCACTGCCTCAGGCAAGAGACGAGCTCAGCCCAGGCTGCTGCAGCCGCCTCCCCGCCTCCTTAGTAAGGTGGACAACTGGAGAGCAGCTCTTCCTTCCTGGTGAGGATGTCTGACCTCACCGTGCCAGGGGAGGCGGGACTTACCACCCTGGGCAGGAGGGGGACCTGCTCATCCTTCATGAACTAAACTGGGGCACAGCAGAGCAGGGGGAGGGATGTGTCCACAGCCACCAACTGGCAAGGCTCTGCCCTTTCTCTCTGCCCTTGGCTGCCCCCCACCCCCACCCCACAGCACCATCTGCTCTTGCAGCAACTGGGGTTTCTTTTAAAAAATATTTGTCTCAGGTGAGGCCCAAAGTGGGCAGAGGGATGATGTGTGTGTGTGTGCTTTGCTGGCCTGGGAAGGGCCGAGAGAGTGAGCCCCTGACACTTCTGGGATGGTAGGGACTGGCCTCCTTCTGGTGTCTGGGTTTCCTCCCAGGCAGTCTCCCTCTGTGCCCATGGCTTCCTGCCAGGGCCTGTCAGCACCTTGAACCCAGGTCTGAGTCCCTCCCACGGCCCCCGAAACCTGCAGACTTGGTGCAGCGCCCCCAGGAGAACTAGACTTTGGGGTGAACCTCGGCTAGAAAGGAGGCTTGGTATGGAATCCAGGTCCCCCACGGCGCTCTTTGGGAATGGTGAGACCCTGGAGGAGCTGTCCTCGAGACTGCTCCGCAGTGCAGAAGGCTGTGGGTGGGGTGGGATGAGGTTCCTGAGGAAAGGCACATGGTAAGCAGACAGTGCATTACTGCCCTCTGCCAGCTGGGCCCCTGGCACCTTGTCGAAAACCCTGGGGAACAGAAACTCCAAAGCCAAGTCAAATTTAACCAGGCCACCACATCCTCCACCCTCCAAGACAAATGGCCCACCACGCCACTAGGGCCCCCTCCTCTGGCCTGGAGGTCTCCTGCCGCCTTTTATGGCTCTCTTGGTGCCAAGGAGCTGGGAAGTGCAGGGAGAGGATTTCCTCTGAAGGACTCTGGCATAACCACTAGAGGAGCATGCCAAGGAGATTCAGTCATGGTTCCCCCGCCTTGGGGCTCCTCCCATACTGCCCCTCCTCCTGGACCCAGGGCAATTTCCCCTGAAGTGTGTTCACGCTGGGCACTGAAGCCTCAGAGGCAATTGGCTAGATTTCAATCAGAAATCCATCTCCCTTAAGGACAGCTTTGGATAAAAGCGGAAGTAACCTGCAATCTAGCTGCTGATGCTGAGCCTCGCGGGGAGCGGAGAGGGGCTGGGACAGGGAGGGCGGAAACCAGCTCAGCCTCTGGGTACCAAGGGACAGCTAGGAGCTGGCCTGCTTTCCCTCCTGACACTACCCAGCTCTGCCACAGACCCAAGCCCGAGCTTGGTAGGGAAGGTTGGTTAACCAGATGTGACCAGGGGCCCACACGAGGGAGGGGCTCCCGGAAACCTGGCTGAAAGAGTCACAGGTGTCCTGAGAGTCAGGGGGAGCTACAGGGTCGGGCCTTCTCCCCTTCCTCCCATCTCCACCCCCTTGGCCAGCTGCCACTGTGGCCACTGGTTCCTCTCAGAGACTGGATGGTGGTCAGGAAAGGGTCACTCCAAAAGAGAAGGGCTGCTGCCCTGATCCTCCTTCCTGGAGACCCCGCAGGGCAGGCGGAGGAGGGGCCGCAGGGACAGGAGGGACCCCACAGAGCATCGCTGGTAAATAATGCACGCCTCCCAGGCCTGGCTGCCGCAGGTAGCCGTATCAAAGTAATACCGCGAGACGGATTGCAGTGTAATCGCCATAATTTAGGGCCCCGTGGGTGAGGCCGTTTCGGAAAAGCTGCACACCCGGGTGGGCCAAGGTGACTGGAGCGCCTGCACCAGCTTTGACCTCTGGATTTCCTCCAAGCTAAGTGAGGCCATAAAAAATTCAGAAGCCCAGGCTGTCTCCCAGCAAATGGGGTGTGGGTAGAGAGATTGTCCTATCCATCTACACCCGGGCAGGATGGATGCTCTGGGCCAGCAGGGAGAGAGATACGCTGAGCCAAAGCCACCTTTTCCGGGTGTCCGAGAAGCCCTGTAGATGTGACCCAGGTGCCCTGCCGCCTAACGATATCTTCATTAGAGTTCAGGTGGTCCCTGCAGGGATCCCAGGTCCTAGGCGGCCAGCCCCCACCCCACCTGCACTGGGACATGGGGATGGTTCATATTCTTGCCCAGGTCCTCCCCAGGGACCTCTGCAGGGATCCCCTTCCCCAGCCCCTCCAGGGGACATCGATTGGGAATGAGGGGCTGATGAGGGTCAGTGGGTTTGCAGACGACTCCTGGGAACTTCCTGATAGGAGCCAGCTGAAAGCAGGCGAGTGGGCAGAGTCCCCCTACTCTGCTCCTAGTGACCTAGAGGGTGATATTCATGAGTTTCTCTTGAGGAAAGACAAAGAAATAGAAAAACTTATCGGACTCCACAGCCCTGTCAGGTTGCATTAGCGGCCAGCCTCGCCTCTGCCGCCCCACCTTGCTGCTGGGGGGCCGGAGGGGTGCTCTCCGTGAATTCTTAGAGGTGCCCTCCTCATCCATTCATTATGTGGACCCACGGGCTCCTATTCCCTCCTCAC